ACAACAAAACGTCACAGATTTCGTTAAAATTAAAAAAAATATATAAAAACACAAAAAACACAGATGGTGTTTTCGGGCAGAAGAAACTGAAAGGTTGATGAGCAAAATGCAGAGCTACTCTGCTGAAAATGACTAAACAGTTGTAACTTCACACCATCAGAACACATTTTATCGTCTCTTTAGAAATAATTTTGATCCCATCCAAACCATTTATTTACTTAAAACTAAATGCATTGCCCTGCACTAACTATTGCTCGACTGTTATAGTAGTCCGATTAATCACTCTTCAAGGCATCTCTATCAACATTTTCATTTCATATATCAGCATAGTTACAATTTCTTCACCCTGTATCTGATGCAAAATTAGCACAATCTATGTATATAATAAACAGTCACCAAGGCATTAACAAAGCCTGGATAAATTACAAATCTCTTCCACATCTAAAATATTAAAATATTCACAGGGGCATTTGAGGCCTGCGCTGTAATTAATGCTGTGCTTCTTTCTAAGTCCCCAAGTTGTCTCATAATAATTGTCGAAGGGATGTTCAGAGATATAACTTTACGGATCAAATGCAAACATATGAAAAGGAACAATGTCTGCAGAAAACTAAGTGTACGTGTAATAAAGCAGAATTCACTGACACCAAGAAAGAGATCAAAGCGATATGTCAATGAGACTTAAAAAGCTTAATATATTCACAACCTGTGTACTAATTTATTTGTCAGCAAGTGCTTAACTTTTAAATTTATGATGGCACATTCACAATAAGCTAATTGGAATTCAAGTGATGTTTTTGACCTACTGTTAGTTTATGGCTTTTTTTCTACAGCGTTTGCTCACAAAACTCTGCATAATTAAAATAGTTGGTGCAGAAGACTGGTAAGAAAACAGAGGAGCTGAAGTTGATTGAATATAAACAATCTTTGGGTGAGAAATATATGTACATGCTTTGCGTGTGTGTGTGTGGTATTCAATTCAGTTCAATTCAAACATACTTTATTAATCCCAAAGGGAAATTAAGTGTTGTCGTAGCTCATCATTCTGGTTACATTCAAGAGTTGTTATAGATGTTGATACATGTAGCTGTGGGCAGGAAGGAGCTCCTGCAGCGAATCCGAAGAATCTGGCCACAGATACCGATCCGGCCACCTGGAACCAGCTTGCTGTCGGATCCGGCGAGCGTCTCGGTCCTCCTGGGCAGCAGGACTGTCTGAAAGCTCCTTGTCACCACGGAGAGACAACTGAAGGTGTCGGGGTGTGATCCCGGTCCTCCCAGAGCTGGTGGGAAAATCGTCTCAGCTCCATGATCTCGGCGGTCAAGGGACTCGAGCACCTCCAACCAGGTTGACGTGAACTCATCCACAGCGCCTCCTTTTCAGCTCATTTGGGATTTGGGGCTGCAGCTGAGTTATTTGAGCTTTTGAGGTGTTAATCAGCTGCTCCTGGTTCTTAAACGACACTTTATTGCCATGGTTACGCATCATAACAAAAGCCCAAAAGTAAAAATCCTTCCAGCTGCACAGCATCCGATACCAGAGTAAATATCATCCGAAAAAAGTGATTTGCATCCAGAAGAAAGAGGAATTAAAGTTTTCAAAAGCAATAACTCAGAATGAAAGTAACAGAGCTACTCCAACATGCAGCCACCCCGAGCAGCGCAACTCTAGAACTGTATGTATATATATATGTATATACAAAGTTATCTGTATTTAATTATATTAATATATATATATATATATATATATAGACTGCTGTATAATTTAGCTTCGAAACAAATGCAGTATGTGCACAACACTAGTAGATGGTTAAAAAAAAAAAAAACATCTTACAAGTCTTCACACTTATTCCCCAACAGTTTTAAATGCTTGGGCTTTAAATGAAATAAAATGTGAACATACATTGCAGAATGTTTCGAAATATTTATCCTTAAAGCAAACACAAAAGCAGACAAATATGAAATTAGCTCTGTTAAAAAGTGGTCACTTTTTTTACATTAAATGTATAAGCGCTTGTCTTTGAGCACATATGACATCTACTCTTTGACTACATTGACTATGATTACATTTGATTTGGAAACTGTTCAATGTTTAACCGTTCTTGCCAGGAAGATGAACTGTCAGGCATGTTCGCAGCGCTGAATAAGGCACTTGGATCACTTTCACGCTGATATATTTTTCACTGCCTTCAACACTTCCTGTGCCACGCAAGCATTTTTTCTCCATCATACCAAAGCATAACAGCAAATTATTCAACAAGGGCAACAATAATTCAACTTTTTCTTTGTTTTGCCTTTTTTTCTTTCTTTCTGTCTTTCTTTCTGTCTTTCTTTCTTTTTCCTTCCTTCCTTCTGTCCCTGCCTCCCTCCCTCCTGTCTGTCTTAAGCAGCAGTTATCCATCCATTTGTTTTCTTTACCCCTTTTTCTAGTCTGGGTCATGGGGGAGCTGATGCCTATCTCCAGTAGTCATGTTGAGAGACAGGGCACCTAGGACAGGTTGCAAGTCCATCACAAGGACACAAGGAGACAAGTGAGACAACCTTTCATGCTCTCACTCCCATCAAGGGACACACAGTACATTGTGCATGTATATATACATACAAACACAAATGTGTTTACCCACTTGAATGTTTTATGCTTTTATTGATGTCATAAATCAATCATGATCAATATATAT